GGGGCCCCCATCTGCTATGGCTACCGATACATCACCGACAAGTGCCCCGAGGGCATCATCCTTTTCCTCTTCCAATCTATCCTCGGCTCCATCGTGGACGCCTTCCTCATCGGCTGCATGTTCATCAAGATGTCCCAGCCCAAGAAGCGCGCCGAGACCCTCATGTTTAGCGAGCACGCGGTGATCTCCATGAGGGACGGAAAACTCACGCTCATGTTCCGGGTGGGCAACCTGCGCAACAGCCACATGGTCTCGGCGCAGATCCGCTGCAAGCTGCTCAAAGTAAGTGCCCCCCGCCCCTTCCCCACCGCCACCGCCCTCCCCCAGGCCAGGGAATTAACCCACCTGAGAACCTCCCCAGCACCAGGCACCCCGTTTTACCGATCGCCACAGGTAAACTTCCTATGGGGGTGTGTGGAGAGGGGCTGGGGGAGTGAACAAAGAGAGCGCAGCTAACAGTCCTGTTTTCCCTCTCCTGATCCTGTTTGTATTCATCATTTCCAAAACGCTGGAATCACTTTCTGGACTAGCGAGCATACAGAGTGGTGTTGGCTCCAGCCTTGAGGGCAATGTGAGCCCGCCTTACTGCTTTGCTCTTTAGAGCACTTCTGATTTGTGGTCCACACACTACTCCACTCAATTTGATGTACTAAACCCAAACTAAATAAACAGCTTTTATTTAAAAGAAATACTTGCTGAGCTGGCCTCAGTTTCCACTTTGGTTTTTTCTTTATTATCATTTTTCTCTCTTCCTTTCCCCCCCTAAAAATCATAGCAGGTCTGCAGACCTAATTACTTTACCACTCTCTCTCTCTGGTCCTAAGCACACAGACCCAGGAACCAGATCATCATGTGGAAGAAAACACTCTTAGTTCTTTGACATTTTTTTTTATTTTTACTACATATGTTCCTAGAGAAGTAGTCTGTGAAAACTTTGAGTGCTTTTCCTGTAGAGCTTCTTGATAAATTTATTCTTAATTGCCTGTTTCTGTGAAGCTTTAGTCAATTACTGATTTCACTTGAAGCTTTTCAGTATCCATTAAAGAAGATTGCTTCCTATCATTGGTGGTGTAAATGCTAAAATAAATTGTACATAGCGTGGTTATTAAAGCAAGGTCCCTCTAGTCGTTAGAGGGCACCACCACAAACAGGAGAAGCAGTCCCCCCTAATCACTCGTCCAATTAATCTGGGAATGAATGATTGGAGCCCAATTTTCTCAATGTGGGTCATTTACAATTTATCCTTTTTCTTGAGGGATTTGCTTTAATATTTTCAAATGTTCATAAGTAGAAGAAGAGTTCAGATAAGTTGCTCATAAGTTGAAGAAGATTCATCTGAGATGGCATAGAGAATGTTAACCAGATTCTGAATTTAGTATTAATAAAATGAAAATCTGATAAATATTTAAGTTGAGACGTTGCCTTTGAGATTTCGGTTTCCACTCTCCAACCATATATCCTTTACACAGTCTCAACTTAAGATATAGGTAAAAATAACCCCATGTGTTTTTAATAAAAGTTTTGCTTGTGTCGTTTTCATTGTTTACTTATAAGATCTTACCCTAAATACTCTTGGCCATGTTGCTCAGTAAGTGTTTGAATTAAAACTATTCACTTATCCTGTCACATCAAATCAGATGCACATTTCCTGTGCTACATATGGGAAATAAACTAAATTTTGTATACCGTAGTGGAAAATGATTAGCCTGGTTCATTTAGCTAACTTAAAAATACACTCTTTGAGATTCTATTCTTTTATAAATAGCTATAACAAGCTACATACAATTTTTAAAATTTAACTTAGCATATTGTTTTATCGCTTAGTGTTGGAAATTAGTTGGTTGGATCAGGCTAAGCAGTTGTGTTATAGATGGATTTTGTGCACTGATAATTGTTTTATGTTCCTATTTCTATGCCTAGCCCAAGATATCATCACTTATTTTAGATTGGGCCTACTGAGCAGATGGGAGCACTTTGTTAGTACAGTGCCAAGTTCTTTGCCAAGGAACCCATGTCCATTGATCACTAAAAAGACTCTTTGTGAAGCGTAGTGTACCTTACTGATTGGTGCAGTGGAAATTGAAAGTTCAACATGAAAAGTTAAATATTGCTATTCTGTAGATTAAAAAAAGAAACGAAGTTATTTACTAAAGCAGATACCATTTCTGGAAAACTTAAATTAGCTTTTTAAGGTTAACCCGCATGTTAAAACTTTTTGTACTTTTAAAATTTACATTTAATCACTGTATACTGTACAATCACTTGATTGATACGCACTGTGTTTATGATGGTAGAAAAATTTATAGTGTACAAAATGATTAAGAGGAATGATACATTTTTGTAGTTTTTGTCATTTCTTTAGACTTCATTAAAAAAGAAGTCATGTTTGATTGGAGACCTAATAACATTCAGTGAAATGCACTGTGTTTATGCTGGGAAAAAAAATTATAGTGTACAAAATATTTCTTTCCAGCATAAATGCAATGTGTATCAGTCAGGTCAAAGATAGTACCATATCATCAACAGATAGCTTTTCATTCACGTGTCTGTTAAAAGTTCCCCCATATCTTCCCTCACACCCTGTCTTACCCACTCTCTCCTGTACTGTCTCTAGTATCTGCAGTTGTCCCTCCTGCTATTAGAGGTAACTGCATCAATAATAATGACTGAGATTGATGAAGATGGAAATATTTCCTACAAAGATGATTTTTCTTGATTTCCTCTTCCCTATGTGTCTTCTTTATCCATTCAGATGAATAAAGACAACATTTTCATTTGCATTATTGTTAGAAATGGGTTTTTTTCTCAATTTGGCATTGGTATCTCAGGCAACACCACCTTGTACTATTTTATATCTTCACATCTTCACATTCTTTTTTGAGCACAGGCTCAGTTCTACTGTTTATACCATTGGTCCCTTGGCCCTAATCCACTCAGCCCTACTGCTAAATCTGAACTACATGGATGCAGATATTATTGGGTTTCAGAAATTTTGGAAAGTCATCATATATAAGTTAGTTATTCATTTGTACAGGTTGATGTTTTTAAACCTTATCAATTTTATTTTAGCAAAACCAGATATAATTAGAAACAATCTACATATTCTTTTATTTTCCTTGTACAAAAGTACAATGGCTCTGAGGCACTGGACTCTTTAGGGATACAGGGTTGTGGTAATGATTTATATATATATATATGGCCATGTGCCACAAATGCCATAAGGAATGTTCTAATTTAAAAAATAAAAATATTTATAGTGTTGACAAATTTGAAGCAAGGTGCTATATTAACACAAGGTGATAAAAACAACATCTAATTCAAGTAATATATATGTGATGCCTATAAAGTCCTTTCCTATTGAGGTATTAGGAAAAAGTCACTGCTAGAAGTAAAAATAATTGACATGTGATGCCAAATTATATTAAAACAAAATGCTAGTGAGATTCTGCTTTTTGTGGAAGAACATTGTACTGTGGTAGCTCTCTGCTCAGCCAGTTAGTATAGTTTGTATGAAGTTGGTTTTCTGTGGTGATTAAGATAAATTTTTGTAACTCTTGTCATTTTCTTAGACTTCATTAAAAAGGAGTCATGTTTGATTGAAGAACTAATAACATTCAGTGAAATTGGAGGGGAGATTTGCCTTTAATAAGTTGCTCTCATTTTCTCCTAGGGACTGAGATGAAGTGACCTAAAACAGTCAACTATATTTTTGAGAGAAGCTATACTGAAATCTTAAAGTAATAATATTTCACTATCAATTTATACATCCTTATCATTAAAAATTATGACACACATTCAGCTCCCACTTTTAACTTCGAATTAATACAGTGTAAAAATTATGTCTTTAGTGTGGAATGTACAGAATTTTATAAGGCAACAAAACCAATATAATATTTAAGGATAGCAATTAGAGAGCATATATATTCATATTACCTGATTTTATCTATTAACATTTTTAACATCTCTTTTTTTATTCCTTGAATAAAATCTTCAATATCAGTATAAGTAGTTTTGTTTAATAATTATATTTTCAGTTTTTTGAGGAAGACACTAAGAACATGGATATGGCTTTTTTAATACTTGCTACTGTGCCATTTTCCATGCCTAATTCTTCTTAATTCCCTAACTTTGGATAAGAATTTCACTAAATTTCTAATTTTTATTACAGTATTTCCTGGATGCATAGTAGTTGCACATATTTGTAGAATAAAGTGTGAGTTTTCAAAACGTAAGTACAATGTGTAATGAGTAAATCAAGGCAACATTTAATCTGCCTAATTCTTAATTATTCTTTTTATTTACATGAAAAATTTTATTTAAACTCTTTTCTAACTCATAAATACTGAAATTTCTTTCATTAATCAAATATGGATCTTCCAACTTTTTGCCTAAAGAGACCAGCCTTTTCTCTACTCAGAAAAAAAAAAAACAGATTAAATAAAAATTAAAGATTATAGTTGGAAATTATTCTTTAAAATTTTAAAGTCAATTGTTTAATTATAAATATAAGTATAGACAGCCCTATTAATACGAACAGTCTTTCTCTTTTCCTCTTCTCATACTCATACTGTTTGTTTTTTTTTTTTTACTTGATTTATAAACTTACTTTAGTTGTCTTCCTTTTTTATCCCAGAGAACAGGGACTAATTAATATCATGACTTTCCTAAGTTAATATATCATCTAATTGAAAGTTTTATAAACATGCCTGATTACAAAGTTGAGCTCAATGGCTGAAAGCACTGGACCTTATAATTTAGGGTGGTTTAAAGAATTTAGAAGTCTCATTCACTCCTTTTTACCAATCTTATACTACTGAAGAATGCCGTACACAGACAACTTGTTAGAGAAACAACTTAATACTCTTTTTTTGTGTTGACAAATTTGAAGCAAGGTGCTATATTAACACAAGGTGATAAAAACAACATCTAATTCAAGTAATATATATGTGATGCCTATAAAGTCCTTTCCTATTGAGGTATTAGGAAAAAGTCACTGCTAGAAGTAAAAATAATTGACATGTGATGCCAAATTATATTAAAACAAAATGCTAGTGAGATTCTGCTTTTTGTGGAAGAACATTGTACTGTGGTAGCTCTCTGCTCAGCCAGTTAGTATAGTTTGTATGAAGTTGGTTTTCTGTGGTGATTAAGATAAATTTTTGTAACTCTTGTCATTTTCTTAGACTTCATTAAAAAGGAGTCATGTTTGATTGAAGAACTAATAACATTCAGTGAAATTGGAGGGGAGATTTGCCTTTAATAAGTTGCTCTCATTTTCTCCT